CTGCGACTACTGCGACTACTACGACTACAACGACTACTACGACTACTACGACTTGTACGACTACTACGACTACTACGACTACGACGACGACGACGACTACTACTAGTAGTTAGTAGTAGTAATTATGGCTACTACTCATGACTACTAAAAACAACAACAACTACTGCTGCTGCTGCTCCTCCTCCTACCCAACAACAACCACTACTACTACTATTACTACTACTACTACTACTACTACTACTACCACTACTACCACCACGACTACTACTACTACTACTACTACTACTACTACTACCACCACTGCTACTGCTACGACTACATTCTGCTAACTACGCTTAGGTTGGTTTGGGTTAGGAGTTGGCTCTTACGCAGAGGTGCGATCGCACACTTGCTCTTTGATGTCACTTGTGTGAATGGTTGATTAACCGTGGCCAATGGCAGAAGGCTGATGATCAGCTTCGTTAGTAAAGAAATAGGTGGTGCCATCGCAGCCATGGCCTACAAGATCAGCTTTCTCGAGAGGCAGGACCAGCTCGCTCAGGGTGGGAGGAGACTGGCTTCAAAGTTTCCTGCCCCCAGCTCTGCTTGCCACCAGAGAACGATCCGGTGGGCGCTCGGTAGCAATGCGGGCTCCTATAATTGGGGCATCCGTCCAACAGCAAACCCGGCAACACCGCTGCTCTTTAGGTCGCGGAGACAGCCAACGAGCCCGGTGCCGCTCGGTGTCTTCGTGAGCAATAGGAGTGGGCGGCGAAGAAATGCAATCGTCGTGTGAAGTGGGGTCAGCTCGACTGCAACAACCCCCACCAGAGACAGCTCCCGGAGCATTTGGCTCAGATCGGGGCTGGTGCCGGAGAGCGATCTGTCTTGGTCATCGATCGCGGAGATCAGCGAGTTCAGTCGAACTGTCGATGACTGCGTGCTGGAAGGTCCCGACAGCATGCTTTCATCCCTTCCATGTCCGTGATCGTTTTTCAGGGCTGCCGCGTCATGGCGATCGCCTGATAAGTGGGCGGTCGCATTTATGCTTGCTCTCAGAAACGAATAGTGGTGGTCCGCTTTGCCATTTGGTAATCAGGCTGGTGGCCCTTTCCTCTCGTGATGCGATTGGGATGCCGATCGGTTGGGCGACCGCTTTCTCAGTGCAGGCGATCGGCTCGACGTGTCGACCAGCACTTTGGCGGTGCCACCTTCGTGGCTGATGGTCAGCAAGTTCTCCGGGCCCACCTTGATCAAGAATGCCGCCTAGTAGCAATCCGCTCCGGTGGAGTGTCCGGGCCTGATGTTGCAGCTGATGCAGCTGACAAATGTCCATGCTCATTGGACAGCCTCCATCGAGGCAGCTGAGGAGGCCGAGACTGGACCCAGAATCTCGTCGATCGCCGTTGACAGCCACCGGGACAACATCCACCTGACCTGTGAGTCTTCGATGTTCCACGCCGGTCGGTCCCCAAGGACGCGATCGCGGTTCAGTGCCGGCGATCGGTCGAAGGAGGTGGAGGCCCTCAGCGTGGCCACTATGACACCCGATGCATCTGTGAGCTCCACCAACCTCCACCTGCACACATCACTCTGATTCAGGACGGGAGATGAGCGACTATGCCCGAAGGGTGGAGTGAGGCTTATCGTCAACATGATGTTTGTGACTTCATCGCTCATACGCTTCGCAACACATAACAAGATCTGTATTGTTGAGTACGAAGGTTGCTCTGCCACTTGGCTTTCCTTCCATCGTCACATCCCCAAAAGCCTTCCTGCACCAAGCAAGCAACGTAATGCTCAGAATTTGTCTTGGGATGCCTCACCCCTTGGAAGACAGACATCTTGATGATGGAGTCAATTTGCACCTTCACGTGATTGTAGACAATCTTGCCCCTGACTTTACTGCATCTGCGCAATTGGATGAGATGACTGGGGGGTTTGACAGTCAACCCATGAATGCATCAACACCACGATTCCAAGCATCAACCATCGATTGAATCCTTGGAAGAGGCCCGCGCTCCCTTCAAGTTGGGAGGAGGATATAGAACAATGGTATGTGTGCACAAGCACGACGACGACGACGACTACTACTACTGCTACTACTACTAGGTTCCGCCCCGCCCGTTTGCCCACCGCCAGGTCGTCACGACATCCGCTGTTTCGACTTCGACGATGGTTTTTGCGGTTTAGGGGATACGATAGAAGATAGTCCATACGCTATATGAGGTATCGTTCCGCTCAAGAGATGTAGTGTATACATTGCCCAATATGTTCTCTTGAGGACCTCGCGTCACAGATATTCTATTCTAAACAGTTCAGACGTCTGTTCTTCATATGATATTACAATAAGACATATACTGTATACGCCTTTTATACAGTCTACATATGTCCTCATCGGTTCTATGCTCCTAGGCATAGCGTATACTTGCGGATAATCCTGTACTCATTGGGATCTAGCCTCGGCTTGCATCCGGGTTTTTTCGGGGTTTTCTGGCCTTCTGGCCGGGTCTTGGTCAGTGGGGTGGCTGCTGTGCTGTACAGGGGGATAGCAAGCCCATGGCCCGCTCCCGGTCGCCGGTGTCTCGAATGGTGTGTCGACTGCCTGCAAGCTTCGACACATTCTTTGAGCTTTTGACAAAAGAAGAGCAGCGAGCCTGGCGTTCTCTCCGCGACAGTTCCTGTGACAGCCTCTCCCAGGGTGGCAGTTCCGTGGTTAGCGTCTCAGCGGTGCAAGACGTGCTGCCTCCCAAGACTGCTTGGCACGACCGGCAGGTGGGACTCTGCAAGTGAGGCAAAACGTCACATTTTTGCAGTTCCGAGTTTGTCGGCAAGGCCGGGGTTTTCTTCATGTCGGGATTCGGAATTCAGCAGTTCTCAACCACGAAGTACATTACACACACACATTGCGAACCCACGGGAAATACCACTATAAACTCGCCCCG